AAAAAAAAAGAAATAAAAATAACAAGCAAGCAGAATATAGAAAACTCTTTGTAAATATGTATCTACGGACTACAGAAACTAACAGCTGACACGAATATATTATAGTATTGTGACTTGAATTGTGGACAAAAATATAATTGGAAGTAGAAAGAATTTAGATATGAGATTGGATAATTCAATTTCCCTACAAATTGATCATTTCAATTCCTACGATAAATCCTAACAAATCCTATATTTTCAATCATTCATTCTTACAATTATTGGATTGGCAACTAAGTGAGCATTTTGGTCTTTTTATTATTTTTCTTCTTATTCTTACACATAGATAGATAGAGATAGATAGATAGAATATTATTATTTAAAAAAGAATAGTCATTTCCTATAATATCACGTGTTAATAATTAATTATATTACGATAGGTATATATGTATATATATATCTAGGTCTACGAATAAATATATTAGGTTTTGTACATATAAAAGTATAGTAAAGTCAAATAAATGTGTAGGTTTTTATTAAAGTAACCACACTCACTTAGTTGCCAACCCAATACATTTCCAATCATCTTATATGAGTCGCGAAAATGTTAAACAGGAAACGTTAACGAAACGTAACATCGTAATGATCATTCGTTCGCTTATTGGCCTTAATTAAACTTCATTAAATTCGTAGCAGACGCAAGTCGCAAGTATACAAGTCATACAAAAGTTTGACGCATTTGTCGAATATTAAAAAATATCTTTTATGCGAATTTGTTTCGCGAAATAAAAATGTTATTAGATGAATGACAATAAAAAACTAACGATATAGTTGTTAACTAATAATAGAAAAGAAGCTACGATGGAAGTTGTGTTAGAAATCTATAAAATTTCTTGGAATAGCCTCGATAAACAACCTACTTACATCTAACCAAAGGAGATGTATCGTTTTTCCGCAAAACTATCGTATTACTTAGATATATATCTGATTACCGAAGAGCACATTTCTCCCCCTCTTTTCTTAACTAGTTTTGTATATACCATTGGAAGACTTATAAGGTGTCTCTTGTTAACGACTCTCTCTCTATCTGTGAGATTAGTCTATTCTAGAAAGGAAGACGAACAAGATGGAACAATGGGTTGGAAAAGTAGCTGCCGTTACTGGTGCAAGTGCGGGAATTGGTGCAGCCATTGCTCGACTATTGGTTAATAACGGTAAATAAAATATAAAATAATAAAATTATAAATATCTCATAGATATTGCTATTAGAAGAAAATAAATGTGCATCATCGATTTTCAATCGCTGATACATGGATTGCATGATCGCACGAAAATATCAGTTAGACGAATACTTTTTACGATCGGGAAACATTGGAAGAAAATATTTTGTTATAGGTATGACGGTGGTTGGATTAGCTAGAAGAACTGACAAAATCGAAGAACTCGCGAATAGTTTGGAAGGAGGACCAGGAAAGCTTCATGCAATCGAATGCGATGTAACCAAAGAAGAGAGTACAACAGTTGCCTTTTCTTGGATCGAAGAAAATTTAGGATCCCTTGATGTGATGATCAATAATGCTGGTATCGCTAAAGAATCCTCATTAACAGGTAAATCTGAAATACTTGGATAATCGATCTACTACGAACGTATACAACAATACATTTGAACTTTTACACGATGCATGCTATTACAAATTCTAGAAGGATCATTGGAAGATTGGAGAGCAGTTATTGATGTGAACGTCTTAGGAGTTTGCTTGACTATGCGAGAAGCTGTTCGATTAATGCGTAAAAAAGATGAGGAAGGTTTGATTATTAATATTGGTAGTTTGGCTGGAGAAAGGGTTCCTGCTGTTCCTGGTTTTGGTATTTATCCATCCTCGAAACGTGCATTAACTGCATTGTCTCAAACTCTTCGCAATGAACTAACTGGGACTAAAATTCGGGTCACGGTAAAATTCATTCATACCGCGATGAATTTAATTCATTACGTACACGTTTAATCCTTGTATTTTTTTAATTAGAATCGTTTTATAAATCTTTATGTTCATTTTTTGATAGAATATTAATCCTGGTGTGGTAGCAACCGAATTATTGGCATCTTATCACGCATTTTCCGAAGAAGTTTTAGCTGCAATGCCAGCTTTGAAAAGTGAAGATGTAGCGAATGCTGTTTCCTACGTCTTATCTACTCCACCTAACGTCGTGGTAAGATTATGTATATATATATCATTTTTTAAACAACATTCCATAGTAGTTAACTCAGCAAAAAATAAAATGAAATAAATTTTATGTACAGATTCAAGACATCGTTTTACGACCACTGGGTGAAACTTGGTGATTTTCTTTTCTTCAAATTCGTTCGATAGTTCGATAGCACGCTGAAATAGCGCCTAACTTCAATTTTGATCGTCTTTTTATAAGTAGATATGTATGTACTCACGCGTATATTATAAAAACACGTCTAGTTTCTTTTTTTTTTAAATATAGATCGCTGTATTAATCTAATGCGATGATTTTGATTCAAATGAAATGTAATTAACCGAACGAGTAGTGATAAATAAAAGATTTGTTCTCTACGATGATCTGTAAAGAATCATAATCATTTGATATTACGTATTTACACAGGTTATGCTTGAAATTTTTTGTTACTAAATACAAAACTTTCCACTCGTAAGAGCCTTCCCTTCCCTGACTCGTTCAAAGCCTTCCCTCGAATATTTTGTTCTAAAACAAGCTTAGAATTCAGATGGTGAACAACGATGGAAACCTTTCAACTTTATTACATGAAGAAAGCTTTCGCTCCCCTCGAGAAACGCTTTACTAACCTAAGGAAAGAAGCTTTGAGGGTTAGTACAATTCGTAGTGATCGATTATTTGATTATCGTCAACGCGAATTGAATTATTTCTTTAGTTAAAATATCTTTGGTCGTACGAAAAAAGACCTAACAGATGTCGTACTCGACAAGAACTTCAAACATGGTACAAGGAAGCCATTAATTATGTAGAAAATAATGAAAATTTATCGGAAGCTTCTAAGTTAATCACAAAAATGTTGAAACACAATCCTAGATCTTACAAGATTTATGCTTTGAGAGCTACCGTTTTTAAACTTCAAGGTACGAATATTAACCCTTTCATTATTAGCAACCCATTTAAAGGGTTAATAAAATAAATAATGTAAAAAATGTGAACATTCAAAGTTGGACACTTTAAGGAAAAGTGACTGATGCGATAAAGAATTACGAGATCGCGCGATTAATGTTGAAATTCGAGAAAATTTCGAATAAAACCGAAAGCAATATGCTTTTTATCGAATCGTTGATCGAGTGTTACGAAGTCAGAGGAGATTGTTTCTATAAGAATGGATTATTTTTACAAGCTGCGAAAGATTACGAACGTATCGTAATACTGAAGCCATCCGAAAGATCGATCATCGATATAGAAGTAACTATAATGCGTTATTCTAAATTGCGAATATTACATTTGTCTCGATATTAAACAATTTTACAATACTATTAACTAATGATTTTTTATTTACACGAGGATAAACTTTTGCGAACGATGAAACATTTAAACAAATACGATGCGTTTTGTTCGTACTGGTACGAATTCATTAAAAATACAAGTGCTAAGAGAATGTCCGATCTTTTGATTATTCACGCGGAATATAAATTCGACTTAAGAGATATCGAGCTGACACGTGAATTTATTCTGGAGGCTGTCACTTTAAATGAAAATAATATTAATGCTCGAAAACTTTTACAGGTATTCCGTTGTTTTGATGAACAAAATTAAATACGTATAAAATTAGAGATTGTAGAGAGAGTAATAATACTAGATAATTAATAAATTTCTATTTGATTTCATATAGAAAATGTACGAACTTGCTCGAACAATGGCAATTCATTCGATAATATGGTGCATGCACCGTTGTTACGACAAAGGTTTGTACACAATTCAGAAGGTTTGCGATTATGATCCATCAAATCTTCAATATATTTTAATAAAAGTAATGATTCTACGATTATCCGGACGAACCAAGGAAGCTTTATCGTGTTTAGGAAAAATGAAAAATGTTTTAGAAACGAAGAAGACCGACGATTCTTCATTTGAAATTACGGATTCAACGAGTGCTCCTTTCTTTAGCACGAAGGAGATTAAACAACAGATGAAAAAACAATATTTATTGGCACGGTAATGAACGAATATTTTTCAAAATTATACAAAGAATACATTAATTATAAAAATGATTGAGATAAATTATTTCAGATATAACGACGCGGTTCAATGTAAATTCGAACAAATAATGGCGAAGAGAGCGCGAGAAATGAAAAACAAAAAGAAAAAAAAAAATCAAATCAAATACAAACAAAATCGCGAACAATATAAAAATGTATAAATAAATTTTCTACGGTTCATCGTGTTTTATCATACCGATTTGAAATTTTTGATAACACGCGCGAGTTCATTTAATTAAATAAAAATTATTTCTTGACCTTTTATATCGAGTGCTAACTATTGCGGAAAGACATTATCAATTACTATCGTTTGATTCACAACTCAACTCTACCCCGAGACATTCATCAAATAACATCATCATTCTTACAATTTGACAGAATTGTTTTGCGAAACCTGAATCGTAGACTATCAAAAATTCTGTTTGTATTCTTTTTAAACGATGACGTTGTGTATGCACACACGCGCAAAGCTACACGTCCGCTATGATTAGAGATACAAAAATAATCAAATAAAAAACAAATAAAGCGGTATCGGTCTCGTGAAAAATATAGTGCAATTTTTCTACATAACTGCATCATACAAAAAACAAGGATATAACATTTAGAGGAATGAAAGATTGTGACGACCTTCTTAATCTTGGGCCACATTTTAAGACAATATAAAAGACGCCGATCGTTTCAGAAAACTTCAGTTTATTCTTTACGATTTCTTACTGCCTTGTACATTGTAACAAACAATTAACGAGGAAAATCCAATTATTTCATTTAAAGAAAATCTAAGTTACCAATAGAAATCTTTTCATTTTATTCAAAATGGAGTGGAGTGGATTAGACAAAGTAGCTGTTGTCACTGGAGCCAGTTCTGGAATTGGTAAAGCAATTGCCGAATTACTCGTCTTAAAAGGTTTAAAAGTTATTGGTCTTGCTCGTAATATCGATAAACTCGAAGTAAGTTTAATTTGATACGAAACAAATATGTTAAAGTATAATATTGATTTTATATTTGTTCTAAAATAATTATTCTTTCCTAAGGCACTTTCTGAAGAATTGAAATCTAAACCAGGCAAATTGTTACCTCTACAATGCGATTTAACGAATCAGAGTGAAGTCTTGAAAGCGATAGAATGGATAGAAAAGGGAGTAGGTTGCGTTAACATTTTAATTAACAACGCAGCATTAAACATCGAAGCAGGTTTCTTATCCGGTGAAATAGAAGATTGGGAAAAAACATTGGACCTTAATATTCTTGGTCTAACATGCATTACGAAGGAAATTTTGAAGCTGATGAAAAAGAAGGGTAAATCATGGAAAAGAACTCTTTTTAACAAAAAACTCAAAATTATAAGTTGATTTGATGTATTCCTGAATTTTAGGTATCGACAATGGTTGCATCGTAAACATAAACGATACATTGGGATTAAAGATTCCGGCGAATCCGGAACGTCCAGCTTCTCCTGCTTACATATGCAGTAAATTTGCACTTACAGCGTTGTCTGAGTGCCTTCGTTTAGAACTAGCACAGCTAGAATCTAACATTAAAGTTATTGTAAGTCTTGGAATTAATGAAATGTGTGAAATATAATTGTACGTATAATTAACGTTGGATTTTCTCGTTACAGTGTATTTCTCCCGGATTGGTTGAAACCGATATGACTCAGCAATGGTTAAAAGAAAATCCACGTTTAGCTTTGCTACCGAAAGACGTGGCCGAAGCTGTTCTTTACACGTTGCAAACATCAGACAACGTTCTTATAAAAGATCTTATTATTACACCTATTCGTGAACTTTAATTTCTACTAAAGAACTACTCGTCAAGAGAAATGAATGTAGTAAAAATAAATCAAAAAAGAATATGAAACAATAAAGAAACTTTCTAAAAATTAGTAGCCAAAAGTTTAATAATAAATAATAATATCCAATTTAACATTTACCATTTTCTTGCAATATTTTTTTTTCATTTATCATATGAAATATTATACTGGTTTATATGAAATGAACGGTTCATATATAACACAGTAAATCAATCTTAAACAATAAATATCGTCTATTGATTTCGCATAAAAAAAAAAGTTAGGAACTTACGGGACAACCTAATATATAACACATAGATCAATGATCTATAATCCATGGAAAAATTCAGGATGTTCTGAAACAGATATTTTCATAAATTAAATATTTGAATATTAAACATCTGTGTGTGTGAAAAATCTTTGGTATATTTTCATAAATATTTCAAGTTATATCTTTTTTTTTTTTATGGAATTTTAAATAAATTTATATTATATTTAGTGTTTATGTGTGTGCCTTCAAAAATGCATTTATACATATATTTAAAAAGGTAGCTATTTAAGCTGCTCAAGTTGAAGAAAATTAAAAAGGTTTGCTGTTAAATCCCACGATGATCATCTGTAACAAGAAGAAAACTATATTAATCATACTATCAAAAGTAATACAATAGCCTAACATATAAGTGGTCCAATTCACAGATGCACTTTTCATTTAAATTCTCTATTTATTTTTATCCAATCTCTATTTATTACCGTTTATAAAATACAATTAAATTTAAACGCGTGATTCTATATTAAAAAATATAATGAATTAAGAAATAGAAAAAGTACAAATATTATAATAAGTTACTAATAAAAATAATATATC